CTAGCCCTTCCAGGTCACAATAGGGGATTTCAGAAATTGAATCTTAAAACCTTTGCCTTCTTTACTGGGGGTCCATAGGTGAGCAGTTCAGAAGGATGATGAAACTGAGGCCCAGGAGACTACGTTGGCTGTTGAAGGTCCCAGGCAGTTGAAGGTCCCATAAACTTGATGCTCACTCAAGTTTATGTAGATGGCCGTGACCTGAACCATGGTCTCCAGCCTTTCAGCACAGAGCTCTTCCCATGTTGAGGATGCCACTGACTCCCGGCCATTCACGTTCAGCCCATGTTCCATCTACAGTCCACAACAGAAATATGAAAAGAGGATCACGTGGTGTGTGTGCCACAGCACCACAACCAGAAACCTGAAAATAATCTGTTTCCTTCTTGAAGCAAATTGTGTTCTCACAAACCCATTCACAGCCCAGCTACTAGCTCCCCAGACAGCAAATGGCTGCCTGCCTTGAGAGATCAAGGACCAGGGAGAACAAAGAAAAAGAGCATGTGAGGTGGAGAAAAATCTTAGTGGGAGCTGAAGGCAAAGAGAGCTAAGCTGCAACCTAGTGTGCATATTAAATCACTGGAACTCTTTGTGCAAGCGATTTCTTTCTCCCTAGCTGGGTGAGGTTTCAGAGATGCTCTACAGAATTTGTCTTGGCTTACTTTGGGGAGGGTTGTGAATGTGACCTGAGAGTAGAGAGTGTTGGGTAACTGACCTCCATGCCCATACTCTACAGATTGTCAACCCCTTCCCATCTCAGCCCATGGCATTCCTGATACCTCCCAGCGATCTTCTCACCTCCCTTCTCTTACCACTTCTAATATTGCTTCCCATTTCTTGGTCTCTTCTTACTTAGGCCAGATCAACTGTGTTCATGTGCAGCCCCAGCTGGTGGTTTCCAGACCATGCAATGATGCTCCAGCCCAAAAGTTTTGCCGTGGAAGGCAGGGAAAATTCCTCTTCCAAATTCCAGAAGCCAAATCCCATTGTTATTAATGCTTTAGTGAAAATCAGCCCAAAATAGAAGGGATGTGATTGTTCCCCATTTTTGGCACCTGTTCAATATTTTTGAGGTAGGATGGTTTTTATCACCAAGATTTTAAAAAACGAATTAGAGGAAGCAGGAAGAAATATGCAAATGAAACATCAGTGAGCTGGTACCTCTTCCATGGGCACTCACCAGTCAGCAACACAAGCTCCTCCCACACAGGCTCCAGCTGGACCTCCTGACGATGACCGTTGGTCTAGTAAGACCCCCACTGAATAACATTCATTTTCTCAGTCATAGAACCTACCCCTTATACCCACAGCTGCCTACAGCCAATAATGGAGCTAAAGTTCTGATCCAAATAGAACCCCATTCTCTGTCTTCTGATTCTGTGATTTTGAGTCACACCAAGGAACAGGAAACAGAAAAAATGTGTTTAGCCATCAGGCTTCATAGAAACACTGCCCAAATCTGCTGTCCCCACTCATCACTGGTGCCTTCACTGGAGGGACAGAGAAGGGGAGAGGCTAGTGCAGTGATTTAGACCTGCTGGCTGTTCGTAATTATCTGTGAATTGGCAGTGGGGGTAGGAAGAGTACCCAAGAAATGATAACTGAAATTTCAGATTGAATAGATGGAAAAAGAAACCAGGTAAAATTATCCTCTTCCTCCTCTCTTCCTGCCAAACAAAACAAAACAAAACAAAACAAAAATGGGTAGTTAATCAACATCACCTATTGCGTTTAGTAAGAATCTGGAAAACAGCCAGTTCCAGGAAGGAAGTGGAGAGGGAATGGATGCGGAGGGAAGTGGTTCTGGGTCTCCAGAGAGTGTCTGATACACAATGGTTCTCAACGTGTGGTTCCCTGGTGCAGCAGCACCAGCATTACCTGGTTGGAACCTGGTTGGAAATGCAGTCTCAGGCCTCACCCCAGACCCACTGTATCAGAAACTCTTAGGAGTGGGCCCCATAATGTGCTTTTCAATCACCACCACCCTCCGGTTAGCCTTGATGCTCACTCAAGTTTGAGAAGCATTCAACCTGAGATGCACTCGGCTTCCTGCATGGGGAACCATTCGAATCAGTGTGAAGATTCTCCAACCACTTGCTCCCTGCCGCCAGCCACTCCTGCCATTCCCATCCCTTTCTCCTGCCCCTTCCCTTGGCCTTGCTTTTCGGAGGCACCATCCCAGCTTGGACTATCCTTTCTTTCCAGGTTCTACTCAAATCTCTCTTCTTCCAAAGACCTCCGAGACACTTCAGTCCTAGGAAACACTCCCTGCTATGAAGCCACATGCACTTACATCTGTAACTGTCATTCTACACTGGCCTGCCTATCGTAGACATTCATTTTCCCAAGGCCATAAGTGCCTTAAGTGCAGGGTCCTTGCCCTCAAAGTTGCCAGGAGGTGGGCCCAGAAATCATTTCCTGCAAAGGAGATCCCAGAGCACGTGTGAAAATCAAAAAGGATGCCTGAGAGAGGAACGGGCCTGCCGGTCTCCACAGATTATCCTGCTGGCACACGGCCCATAGGCAGGCCCTCCCCCACAGGCCCAGCATGTTATTCCCCACGTGGATTAGAGGCTGAACACAAACAGAATACAAAAGACAAAAGACAGGGAGCAGCGTTCCTGTCAGAGTCTATAAAAGTCTTAGAAGTGACAGCCGAGCTCTTGCCTGCTGCTGCTGCCCTGAAATCCAGAAAGAATCAATTTCAGACCCAGGGCCAAATGGTGCCCCAGGGGGCGTGCCTGTGACAGGTGCTGACTCCGCCCAGACCCCAGGACCAACCCAACCAGGAGAGCTGAGTGGGGGAGGGGGAGGGGAATGGAAGAGTCGCCCTGCAGCTTAAAAAGGAAACAGGCACACCTCTCTGTCTCTTTTTCAGTCTCTTTGCTTCTGTTTCTCTGTCTCTTTCTGTCTCTGTTTGTCTCCATCTCTTTCTCCCTCCCCTTTTCTCTGTTTCTCCTTTGTCTCTGTTTTTCTGTTTCTCTGCCTTTTCCTCTGTCTATCTCTCTGTTGCTTGCTTTCTTTCTCACTGGTGTCTGTTACTGTATTTCTTCTCTGAAACTCTTTTTACTCATTATTAGGATTACAACTAAAATTTTCTTTCTTGCTTCATGAAACTAAACTGTGACCCTGACTGTGCTACCTACCCTTTCAGACTCCAAGTCCCCCCAAAACATACATTTTCAATAAATGCTTGTAGTTCATTGATAAGAATCTACAAAATTCCAAAAATTGCATTTGTTTATCCTTCTGGATTGCAAGAAAGGAATTATTTAGCAGGGACTAGTGGACATGCGTGCTGCATGCATGTGATGAGCTCCTCAAGTCAAAGCACAGTTTTATTTGTTTACATATTTATTTTCAGAACACAGCAGTGTCCATTGTATAGGTTAGCATTTTTCATTTGCCAAACTCATGCAGTGGGAAGAGGAAGCACTCAGGCTAGGGTTGGCAGATTTGGCAAACTAAAGCACAGGGCACCAGTAAATTCTAATTTCAAATAAACACAACAAATATTTTTTAATACAAATATGTTTCAAATATTAAATGGTCCATGCCCTAGGAGAGTATCTGTTGTTACTCTGAAATTCACATTTACTGAGCATCCTGTATTTCATCTGGCAACCCCATCTTAGGACAATTCAAGTAGAAGCGGGGCATAGGGAACTGCTAGAGGAAAAAAAAACTTTAAAAATTGTATTACACTTTATATTACGTTACTTTTAAAAAGAAGAACAAACCCCAAACCAAAAATCACTTCCACAACACATTTCTTAAAAGCAGAAATTAGGTTCCTTTTATGTTAGTGCAAAGATAGGTGCCAAGCTGGGGTCTCAGATGGAGTGATTTTAAATCTCAGAAAGAGCTTAGCTGTTTTTGTAAAAAGGAAAGTTGGCAAGTGATTAGTGCCGATGTGGCCCAGCTGCTCTTTTGTACTTTGAAAGAAACAATTAAAATGGCCGGGACATTAAACTTTAAAGAGCTGGGTTGTTCATATTCTTAAGCTAATTTTAAAAAGAGCCTGGTACCTGGGAAAGGAAGGGACATTTTCAGAGAGGACATGGTCTTCTACCTTCTGAACGCTAAATTTTGAAGAACCATTTAAAATAACTCATAGGTAAATATTACAGATAAAATACCTCCAGGGATAAGAAAGCTCTTTATTGCTTAGACATGTAGATACCAGATGCGAAATTAATTTTTGTTCACTTTTTAGATGGTAAATGCTGCCATCTGAGAAATTAAATGTTGGAAAAGACAAATCCAGAACTGGTTTCTTTCTACAAATTGCCAAGCTCCTGTAATGTGCTAGGTCCTGGGGTTAAGGAAAAGAAATGAACAAAGCAAATCCCTACCCTGGAGGAAGCTCACATTTAAGTGGGGATGACAGATCTGTAAGCAAAGAGAGTTCACTGTGGTGAGGTGGTGTGGTTAAAAGCATGGTTAAAAGGGTTAAAAGTGAGGGCCCTGTGCTCAACACAGGCTCAGGCCCATCCCCACCACTTACGCAGTGTCTGAGCTTTGTTTTCTACACGTGTAAATGGAAATAAAGATAGAATTTCTTCAATTAGATCGTGAGGACTTACTATGGTAAGTGAAGTTAAGCGTTTAGTACACTGCCCACCATAGAGCAAGTGCTTCGTTAGACCTGGCTATTATTGTAAGTGTGGTCATCCCTATGGGATCTATGGGAGCACAGAGGAAGGAGTCTGTCACTCCCGCTTAGATGGGGGTGGGGTGTGATGTGTGGTTCCTTGGGGGCTGAGTCTTAAAGGAGGGGAAAAGTGGTTGACGGCATTCCCTTCACAGTGCGCAGAGGGAACACAGGGCGTCCAGGATAGTCATGGGCATGGCCATCATTTGGAGCAACAGAGGTGACCAGGAGCCCCATTATCACGGGCCTCATAAACCATGCCAGGTGTCTGACCTTGTAGAATCATCAGAAAACTGATGGAGTTTAAAGAAGACAAGGATGTAATCTGCATTTCTTTTTTGTGGTTGTTGAAAGATAAGCCATTTATTGATCATCCATTTTTCTAAAAAAACACAAACGTGACAGTAACATAAACACACTCAAGACTCACTAGCCTCTGCAAGATGGAAGCAGCCTTGGACAGAGAGTCTGCAAATGAGTTTCCTCATACCTAATGCCTGAACTTCTCAAAACTTCTCACTCATTCTGGGGTTTCATGTTTTGTTACCTCTCGCAGAGGAAAGGAAACTGGCTGAGGATTCACAGACAAGAAGGCCACAACTTTAAAGCTATCTGATGCTAACATCGTGTACAATCTGTTTGCAACTCTGAGAGATGATATCAAATAAGTACTGTCAAATACTACTCCGTTAACCTTTACTGTCATTGTTCTTTGAAATTGTCTTTGGAATTGGTTATGTTCTCTCGCTGTAGCTTTCCTTTATCCCAGGGCACAAACCCTAATGTCCCTGTGCAGTCTCCATGTTCAAGTATAAAAGTCTGTTTCAGGACAACCCTAGGTTGCTGCAGTGTTTCTCTATCTGACTGTCTACTTGGTGTCATGCCCTTGGACAGGATGGTCAAATGGCCGCACAATGCAGGGGCGACGAGGTCAACTTCCCCACCAAACTTTCTCCCCTTTCAATCTGGTCACTGCCCATGGTCGAGACGGGGATCTTGAGCTCAGTGATGACCTTGGCCTATCTTCAGTCTGAAATTGCATTCTTATGTAACCGAATCCATTTCTTCACCAAAAATTAAACAGAGCTTTCAAAAGGTGTCAGGCCTATTCTTAGAAATTATACTGAGATGGAGCTGGAGGGTCCGGGCCTTCAGGCTCTGGAGGGGTTGCTGGCACAGCTGCTTTTATCTGGGCCGCCAGGTACTCATGAATTGCTCGTTCTATTTGTGGCCTGAAGATGTGGTTTAGTTTCGGATCCACCACCTGAGTAATAATCCTGTCTACTCCAGTTTCCAACATCCCTGACTGAACCACACTCTGCCTCGGACCATGGCAGAGCTGATTTTTGTTCACTGCAGGATTCCATTCCCGCTGGTCCAGATGTGCTGGCACCAAATTATCCACTTTCTGGCTCGGGTTTTGGTAAGCTAGCTTGGTGTCCACGTCGGCCGGGCAGTCCTGGCGGAAGCTGTCAAAAAGGCCCCGGCTCTTGAGCTGCTCCACGACGAGGGCGATGAGCTGAGGGTCGCCAGGGGGCAGCGAGGCCAGGTTGATGGGACCGCCGCCCCCACTGGCCGAGGCCTGGCCCGCTCCGCCGCCGTCCGCCATGGCTGCACCCCGGGGCCCACGGGGAGACCGATTAGAGCTTCTTCTCCAGGACGGAAGGCCTAGGGTATGTAGAGGTGGCGAAGGGGGCCGTAAAGGAGGAGGGTCCCGAGGAGGCCGCGGCGGAGGTGACAGTGGTGGTGATGGCGGCGGGGGCGGCGGTGGGGGCCGGGGAGGCCGGCTCCAGGCCACTGAGGTTGCGCGAGACGCGCCAGCAACTGCCTGCTCCAGTCCGGGCGCACGCCGATGACGTCACCGTCGGCCTTCACATTGCGGGGCGGGAGCCGTCATCTGCGCTGCTTCAAAGATCTCTAAGGCTGGGCGCGATGGCTCACGCCTGTAATCCCAGCACTTTGGGAGGCCGAGGCGGGTGGATCACGAGGTCAATAGATTGAGACCATCCTGGTCAACGTGGTGAAACCCCGTCTCTACTAAAAATACAAAACATTAGCTGGGCGTGGTGGCACGTGCCTGTAATCCCAGCTACTCAGGAGGCTGAGGCAGGAGAATTGCCTGAACCCAGGAGGCGGAGGTGGCGGTGAGCAGAGATCGCGCCATTGCACTCCAGCCTGGGTAACAAGAGCGAAACTCCGTCTCAAAAAAAAAAAAAAAAAAAAAAAAAAAAAAAAAAAAAAAAAAAAAAGATCTCTAGAGGAAGGTGGAAAGAAATGGGAGTGGACAAGTGGGGACACAGGGCGACAATTTCAGCAACCATTTCAGTGCCCCAGGAAGCAGATGAGGAGGAATGGATGATCTTGGTGGCCTGGGAAGTTAAGAAGGTAACAGATACAAAAGATATTTAGGAGGTCAACTCATCCCAGGGATTGGAGACCAACCAGGTGAGAGGCGAGGGAAAGGAGAGGGTCAAGGATGACCCCCAGGCTTCTAACTAGGGCAGGTGTATGGAGGTGCCATTTACTACATGGAGAACAGGTATAGAGGTGAGGATGGGAGACTGAGACATGATCATGTATTCCATTTTTATTTACTAGTTTAAGATGGGTATGGGTTATTCAGGTGAAGACATCTTCCTATGAAGTCCAAAGGAAGAAGGGCTGGGAACTTGGGAGAGACATCTATCTCACTGAAGATAGAGACTCTAGGTGACAATTACAATGGAGAACTTAGATGAGATAGAGGAACAACTGAGAGCCCATGAGGGGGACTGGGAACAACACTAAAAAGATGGGGGAAACACAAGAGCCTTGGATTAACAATGCAAAAGGGCACATTTCATGAAGGCCAGGGGGTTAAATGCCACACTATGTTCCACAGGTGTCAATTGGTTTTGGTAGCCATTGATGAGCCTAGGGCGGAGGCATCAGTCAGAGGGAGGTCATTTCAGCAAGAGAACTGTATTGCAGCCAAGAGCCATAAAAGGCAACCACATCCAGCGCCATCCAATAGAGAAGTGCAGGTGCACAGAAAGAGCCTTCTATCAACATTTCAAAAGAAAAGCAGATCCCTAATTTCACCCCAACACTCACTTCCCTGAATTAAAATCCCCTGAAATGTAGACACCAGATTGTTCTATAAGCCCTAGCATAACTTAGAGATAGCATATTTCACAAAGGAAGTTTACAAAACAGACTCTGTCAATAACTTCTGCCCAGAGCTTCTGACATACAAGTACAGATGCCTCAGAGGGACATTATTCTGAATCTCATCCCACAGGAGACAGTGAACCTACCAAGACTTCACCACAGCAACCCCCACCTATGCTCCCCACCATCCCCATGATCAGCTCAACAATTAAGTTCCATATTTTTTAACTCATCAATATTTATTGAGGGATCAGTAGATGTGGCCCTGTGCTAAGCTTTATGGAGCTTTCCACATGCCTGGCCCAGTCTAACACTTCGATAAATGTTTGCTGTGGCTGTTGTTTAAGGTAGGCAACATGGCCAGCCTTCAAAAAGCTTACAATCTAGTTGGAGAGGGGAGATGTTGACAGAGAAAATCATTCAGGACATAGACAGGCTCCATGGGCACTTAGATGCAGCATGCACACCTAGCATGGTGCCTGGAACAAAAGAGAGGCACCATTAATATTTGCAGAATGAAGACTGCATAGATGAAGGGAAGGTATCCTTGTCATGTGTTGGAGATAACTGAAGACTGGGAGAACATGGCAGATGGAAGAAGACTTTGCAAAAGAGCTGGAACCTGAACTAGGTCTTAGTTTATCCTCTCACCGTGCATGTGCCCTTCAGATTTCGCAGGAGTTCTCTGTCTTAGAATGAAATCACCTGTGTGGATCTGACATGAGATCTGTGGAGTTTTCCACTCACAGCCTCACCCACAGATGGACACTTAACTAAGTTTTTTATAGGGACGATAACAATCATTTTGCAGTGTTCCATTTTGTGCTGAAAAATGTCCACTGTCAAACACCTCCTCCTTAAGTCTTAAATAGTGCGATGGCATGGTTTTTCTGTACAGCTGACTTGTGTCTTATTTGTAATTATAGACATTAAGTTACTATAATTATCCCATCACCTTGCATCAGGGTTTAGGGCACAGGACAGTTCTCACCGAGGTTTCAAACCACTGCTTCTGGCTGCCTGGCAAACTAGAAGGCCACTAGAGTAACTTCCCTGACCTCTAGCTGACCTGCAGGGATCAATGAACAATTAATTACTATCATCCTGCTCTGGGAGAGATAGCACACTGCCATTTCTCAATTACAACTGGAAGTGCCCCTTGGCTGACAGCTGCCTGTCGGACAAGCCAAGCCCCCTGCTGATTCAAACCAGTGCCTCCCACCACAACTACACACACAGATACACACACAGGCACATGCCTTCGAACTCAGACTACATCCATTTCCCCACCACACCCACCCACAATCACACAGATCACACCATCTTCCCACCTACTATTCCCACACCCACAATCATGCTATCATCAGACTCTGAAATATAGATACCAGAGTGTTCTATGAGTTAACATAACTCAGAGAGTGTATATTTCACAAAGAAAATATGACAATGATCAATAATCTCATATCATAGCTTCTAACATACAAGCATAGATACCTAGGACAGACAACATTCTAAATCTTACCTGGAAGGAAACAGTCAATAGTCTTTATCAGTATCCATTTTCCTGATGTATTACGTGGGCACACAGACCAGTATTGTTCAAGGGTAGGGATGACCCTGCAAAGGCAAGCCTCAGGAAGACTGTCTTTGCTGTACTTCTTGTGACATCTCTACAGGTAAACCTTTGGTGTTTTCCACTGTCATCTCTCCTGACATCTTTAGTGACCCCTCCACTCCCATCCAAATGCTCTGTGTTGTTTCCTCCCCAGCTACCTTGACCCACACCACCTACAGCTTTCCTAGCCCCTCCCCAAATACCAAAGCGCCTTCTAAATATTCACTCCTTTCCAGCCCCCTTCTCTCCACCCCCTTCTCTCCACAGCCTCCTAGTTGAGGACTGATCAACTCAAGCTGAAATGTTTCTGGCTGCTGATAGCTTCAGCTACCACTCCTATAGTTAATCCTAAAATTCAAAAGAGTAAATACACTGGCAACCACAGGGGCTCCCGTTCTACCTGAAGGTGGGAGTGAGCTACCTGTGGTCATAGAGGCTCTGAGAATCCTATCTCATTTTGTTGTATGTTTCCTGCTTTATTTCTACAATCAACTATCTAAAGACTGTTTATTCCATTAGAAAGATCTACAAGTGCTTTAGCCAAGACTTTTGATTGCTTGCAACAGAAACCCAGCTTTAAAAAGGAGCAGGGATATTTGGGCTCACGTAAAGACCTAAAGGTCTCTCTGGCTCAGGTATAGTGGGATCCTGGTACTGGAACACAGTAATCAGAACTTGATCTCTGGTTTCCTCCTGACTGGCTCTCCTCCCAGCCTGGATGTCTTAACAGGGCTGACTGAGCAGCTGCAGGTGTGCATCACCCATGGTCAGCAATTGCCACTGACAGGAGAGCTGCTAGTTCTGAGAAAGAGAAATTCCAACAAAAGTCTCAAGATCATATCTCTTGGTCTACCTTGGATCAGTCTTCATCCTCGAACCAATCTCATTGGCCAGAGGCCTAGAACACTAAACTAGAGACAATTCCTCTCTTTTCCCAGCTCCTGACCTCTACTACCCAGAGCAGACTCTCTGTGGCCAGTCATGGCCCCTGCTGATAACTATACAAGAACCAAAACATTTTGCTAGCCCAGAGCTTGACTTAGAGAACCAGTGACTATTTAGAGGAACTTTTCCAGTTCACAGTTTCTGGGCCCTCGTCAGCAAGCAAAACCACCTTAAATTAATCAGATATATACTGTGCTATCCTGATCAAACTACCAGGCACCTAGGAGGTGATCACAAATATTGTAGTTATTGAAGGGACATGCTTATGACTCCACCGCTTAAATTTCCATCTTGCCCCATGCCCAGAGGAGAGCAGTATGGGAATACGCATTTCCAGTCTCTCTCCTGACTTCCCCCATCACGTGCTGCTCCAGCCAGAAGAAGAGTGACTGATCTGCTTGGTAAGATCAGGGAGAACCAGGTAAATCCACTAGGCCACATTTGCCAAGAGCAGAGTCCTTGAGTGGGACATGGACGTGTCTTGCTGGTTTTCTTAGACCTGCCTAGCTTCATGTGGAGCTTGCTGCTCTTCTCCTTTTCCCATCCCCAACCACAAGGGAGGTCTGCTTCTCTTTAGCAGGCATATGGTTGGATATGTACGTTTAGACTGGAGAGCCACACGGAAGACCATGCTGCCCAGTTTTCCAGAGAGCCCTATGCTTTGGGTACTCTAAGTGACTCTTAGATCCCATTTAGCTCCTTAATTGGCTAAAACCAAGAGGGGAGAAAGCATAAGTAATTAGCACCTTCACCCCTTCAAGCAGAACAGCAGTGACAATGATGATGATGATGATGATGATGAAGGTGGTGGTGATGATTACGGGGGGTCTCCCCCAAAGCCGGAAGCCATAGGGAGTCAGGCTAGCAGTGACCATGCTCTCCCACTTTCCTTCCTTAAGAGAATCGTCAGCCCTGAGTGTTCCCCTGCTGGGGGCTGAACCTTGTCCTCTGTAGGGAACACAAAAATAATTGCAAAGTGCTGTCTCCATCCTGCAGAGGCACACCAGCCACTTGAGCTTGGACATTAAATCATACCAGAAGACTGTATATCTGCCCTGGAAAGGAAGGAAGCAATTGAAACCCAGTATTTAAAGGCAGTCTCAGATTTATCCTC